TTTTTCTACTATCCACAACTGTTTTCATCACCGTGAAATGGAAAATTAGACGGTCCCCTAACATGAAGAGTGAGGGAAATAAGGATTCTACGGATTTCATTGAATGCAAACCAATAATACCATTACCATAAGCCAAAGTTAAGGGTTAATGTTAATATAAAATTAAGGACAGTTATTCTAAAGCTCTCCAGTGTAACTGCATCGTCTGAACAGCGTTGTAATATAGCATTATATGCATGTATTTGAATTCCGCGGTAAATTTCACTTTCCAAAGTGGCTTAAAAGCACCAAATAATCGTAAGCCCAATCAGAATAAAACAAATGTGAGTGGCCAAAAAATATATGGAAGAAGTTGAGAAATATAAAAAAGACAATAAAAAAAATATACATGAACAAGCACGAAAAGTGGGTTAATTGAATGTAAATAAATTCCGTGCCAAGAAGCTTTTGCTCCATAAAAGTCAATTCACAATGAAGTGAGCCGAAGACTTGTGCTAATGTCAAACGATGGAATGAGCCATACACACAAAGAAAGTTTGACTTTGTACATGTAAACTTTATATGTGCAAAGAAACTTGTTTTAATTAAACAACAAATAAAAAACTGAAAAATAAAAAATTAGTATTTAATATTGCGCATTTGAATGTCTGTGATCTATTGACGTGTGACAAAATGTGCTATTTCCAACAATATATGTATGTGTCCATTTTACACTGTTAAATACAGCAGCTGCAATCACAAATTATGCAATTTCCTACAATCAAAAAAAAGTTTCTTTTATCTCTCGGCCAATGCACCCCAAGCAAACGGTGCATATTGTTACTGTTACGTTACAAGTACATACTAGTTTATGCTGGACACATACTTGCCTCTACATACTTGTATCTATACATAACTGCATATGTACGAATGAACATTAGGGGCATCTGCTAGTGTTATAAAATTTATAAACAAAGAAAATTAATTTAAATAAAAAATTAAGTTAAATTTTCTAATTGCGGTCGTCACCCGGCAGGGAATGTCGAGGTCTCCGGGTGTATTTCTGACATGAAATAAAGCTCCTCATTAAAAACCCATCAACCGTTCGGAGGCTCCTTAGTATAAACTGTAGGTCCCTCCATTTGTTGGAAAAACATCAGGATGCAAAATCACAAATTGTAGGAGGAGCTCGGTCCCAAATCGCTTCAGCGGTTACAAAGACCCAATTATATATATATCTAAAAAAAAATATTTCTTTTAAATAACTATGCTTTTTCGGTATTCCGAGCTCAATAACTTAAAAATAAAAATAAAAATCTGAGCAGTACAATTGAACACCCAAAAATATTGCATTGGTCGATAACACAGCCATTATAGAAGCCTTTACATCCTCAAAAAATTATTGATTGGTGTGCTCTATATGCAGAGGGCAGCATTGGTCCATATTCCTTCAAAAGTGAAGCTGGTCATAACGTTGCAGTCAATGGGAGACGCTATAGAGATTTGATAAATGAATTCTTCGTACCTGAATTAGAGGATGATGATGTCGTTCCAACAAGACGACGCTACATGCCATTTAACCAATCAATCAATTCATTACGGCAAACTTTTGGTGAGCGAATTATCTCAAGTGGCCTCCCACATTTTTTGGTTTAACAACGCTCGACTATTCTTTGTAGGACTGTGTAAAGTCGCTTTGCTTCGCTAATAAACTCAGAATGATTGAAGCCTTGAAGAGAACTTTCGGCGCCTTATCTCTTACTTACGGCTCCAATTGCTGCAAAATATGGCTGACAGTTGAGCCTCTCTGTAAGAATTTATTCCACCGCGGAGGCCACTTGCCTGAAATCATTTTTAAATCATAAAAGCTGATATGTAATGATAAATTTTTGGCCAAAAGACCGTGAAAAATCGACCGTTTGCAGCAACACGGACTGACGAATGGAACGACTTTTAACATTTTACGTCGAGATCTTCAATTGAAAGCGAGAAAATTCAGCTTTTTTAAGATCTGTGGCATTGCTTCACTTTATGGGCTTCTGGAAAGCTCCAAAAAGATCCGACGTTTTCGTTCAAAATTTTGTTCAGCGATGAGGCCCATTTCTGGCTCAATGGGTATGTGAACAAGCGAGATTACCGCATTTGTGACGATGAATAACCTGACGTGATTCAAGATTTGTTATTTCATCCAGAAAAAAGAACAACAGAGAACACTATGGAAGCAGATAATTTCACGTTTCGGGCCCGTCGATTGGCCATGATACCGTTAGACTTTTTCCTGTGGGGATTTGTAAAGTTCAAAGTCTATTTGGACAATCCCGCTTCATTTCAGGCCTTGGAGCAAAACATTACGCGTGTCATTCCTCAGTTACCAGTCGAAATGCTCGAGCGAGTCATCGAAAAGGCAACTCAACGGATAGACCATCTGAGACGTAATAGTAAATATTCCCCATTTAATTTGAATTGTCTGTGTTATTTTCTTTATTAATACTTTTTCTCAATTATTCCTTGTATTTCCATTATTTACTTCCTAAAAAGACAATTGCTTTTGTTATTCATATTTTATTATTTTATTATTCATATTTTTCCCCATGTCTCACATGTATTATTATTCAATTGAGACACAGTTGGGATCGAAAATCCTACTTTTTCTTGCATAGCCTAAGCTAAATTTTACTTACCGAACCTAACCTCAATCTGTATGACTTATGGCATTGCTGATTTATGTAATATGATTTGAGAAAGCAATGATGCCCCTAACTTATGTCCATCTAAACATACATAAATTGGTATGGCGTAATTTAGCATCACCAGCAGATTTTATATTTGAAAGTGAAATTTAACGCTTTAACGCTAAGTATCGACGAAAGCAAACAAACAACGTCGCGAATAAGAGCAAAACCAATGATGAACAGATCAAACAAATATAGAAATGCACATTGATCTCTTGTCTTGGCGCTGAGTTATGTACATGGCACGTAAATATGCATGTTTATTTGTCGTCAATTACTGGCATGCAATATTGCATTATGGCATTCTCTTGATTTCCTTCACCATTCATTTTTAATCTTCTTCACTTCGATGCTGTTGTTCGTATTTTGCTGTCATTTCCACTTGCATTCGATATTAATTTTGACATTTTGCTTTGTTGCAAAACAGCTTGCCACACGATTCCACCAACAAGCAAGCAACCAGCAACCGCATAAACTGGTTTATCTCTTCATGCAATTCAACACTGTTATTTCTTTGCGCTCTCTTGTTTTTATCATGGCTTCTGTTTTGCTACAGATCAATGTATGTACTTATGTTTGTATGCATAAGTATGTGCGGCGTACCGTTGGCTGAGCTCGACTGCCCACAGAAACCAGCTGTCATGCAAATAGTCGCGTTACAAACCGAAAATAGCCACAAAAATTGTTGTTGCAGCAAGTCAAGTTCAAGGCTCCACCACCGCCGCTTGTTAGTAACTGTAACTGTATATTAGCATTAATGAATTTTTTTTGTATGGCGTGTCATACAAAGTTATTCAAACCAACTATTGTAGTTGCGAAAAAGCACTATTACTTGTCACAATTTTCCCTCAAAACAAACAAAACAAAAAACGATTGTAATAATAATTCGAAAATTGGTGTCACTTTTACAGGTGCGTGGGCGAAGTGAAAGAGCTGCTGCCGGTGTCACCAATAAGTAGGTTATTGCTACGACTTTTGTTTCGCAGACCGTTCGATCAGCACTTGCACACACACACACATACGCTCACGTGAAAAATATGGAATCATTAATTGGCTCTGTTGAGCCGCTGAAGCGATTTTCGGCCGCATAGATATATATATGTGCGAACATACATTCATATGTCAGTCGAAATTCTCTGAAATTTATTTCATTGAATTTTACTTTGTTTTATTTTACTTTAATTTATTGCTTTTGTATTTTTTAAATTTGGTGCATCGTAACTGTCTTTTTATTTCACTGGGTTTTTTTCAATTAATTTTTTATTTTTAATATTATTTTATTTAAATATATTTAATATGAATATTTTCATTTTAATATTTTTAGTGGATTTTATTAATTCTTATATAATTTTATTTTATGTTCCTCAGTTTTATTTAGTTGAATATTATTTCATTTCACTTTATAGTACGAGGTGTGTTCAAAAAATATCGCGAATTTTGTGTTTTTCGGCATAAGTGACAGACATGAGTACCAACATAACGCCACAAAAAAATTGAAATTCGATTATACGTAACCCGCGAAAATTCAAAATTCGCGATACTTTTTGAACACACCCCGTATTTTACTTTTATTTTTAATTTTTTTTTTTAATTTTATCTCACTTAATTCTATTTGATATTTTTTTTATTTTATCTTGTGTTTTTTTTTACTAAATTCTATTTTAGTTCATATTTTTCTGTTTCATTTTATTTTGTTTTCAGTTAATTTATTTTATTTTTGAAGTTTTTTAGTTGATTTGATTTTGGATCATATAATTTAAATTTATTTCTTTTTTTAATTTTATTCTTTTACTTTATTTACTTTTAATATATTTTTTTATTATTTCATATTTATTTTATTTTAGTTTATTATATTTATTTATATTATTTAAGTATTTAGTTTTAATGTATAGTTGGTTATTTCAATTATTTTTTTTCCTTTCATTTTATTTTATATAATATCAATTTTCTTTATTTTGTTCAATTCGTTTTATGTTTTTATAGTTTTATTATAATATGTTACTTTACTTTTTTCTTTTAGTTTTGAATTTTATTTCATATTATTTAGTTAGCACTTTCTTATTTTAATTTAAATTGGTTTATTTTGTTTTGTTGATTTTTTTAATTTTTTATTTCGTTTTATTCTATTCTTTTAATTTTAGTTATTTTAATTCGTTTTATAATTTTCGATTGAATTTTATTTCTAAATTTTTTTATTAGTGTATTCTATTTATTTTTGAAGTTTTATTTAGTTATATATAATTTTTCTATTTTATTTTTTATTTTATTGTAATTTATTTATTTACTTACTCTCCTGATGCTCGTTCGTTTGAGAATTGGAAAAATATTTCTCAGTTGTAAAGTGATATCATTCACGTATTCTTCTCTTCGCATCCTATTCCAACCAACAATCAGGATTTTTCCAACAGTGATAACTCTATTCGTAGCTATACATTCACCGAATCTTTGGCGACCTTCACTTCACTTGGTTTTAACACATCAATTTAATTTTCTATTTATTTTCAACTTTTCTTCGTAATTTTGTTTCACTGAACTAAAATGCCGTATTTCTTGTGCACTTTCTTTTTTGCTACACGTTCGCTTAACTTCGCTTTTTGTTCGCAGAAGTGCTTGTAACAATGATACAACACCACGGGGCTTTCTCGACCGCTTGACGCATGCGCGACGACTGCTTACACGTAAAGTCAACTCCTACCTTCGCTACCACAAAAAGCTACATTTTCTTTCCAATTACTCCCTACACACATTCTTTCCCCGCTGGCAAAAAAAGAATCACCAAAAAGCGCTGAGGTGAAAAGAGTGGCAATGAAGTGATGTAGCGATGAAGCCACTCTTCAGCTCAAGTAATTCGGCTAAATGTCTCTCTCGCTATTGTAAAATGGAATAAACTTGTTTACTTTTGAATTGGAAATTAATTTCTTTGTCAGCTGTGAAATTTCTCAATCATGCCAAGCAATTGCAAAATCATTCATTGTTCACTCATAATCATCTCCTCACCACTATACACACGCGTACACTTTTGCCATCTCGTTCAACCTTTTCTTAGTTTTCTATGCGCCAAAAGTATAACAAATACCCACCCGACGTGAAGGCCCTCACGTACATAATACACACTCGTCTAGTTGGATTTCGTGTATGAATCGCAACTAATTTGGCTTTCCGCTTTTCATTGCTTTCTCCATTAATCATACTCACGTTCTTTCATTTCCATTTGTTACTTCCATTGTCGGATGTCTTCTTGGCCATGACATTTGGCTTGCAGTTGTCAAGTGTAGGTAGTTGAATGCTATTATGAGTGGTTCAACCCAGGTTGGTGGCAAGTGTTTATGAAAGTCTCTTTGGTAGTTCTCTTAGTGAAAGAAATTCTCTTTCGAGAGTGAGAACTTATTTGCATATTTATTTAGTTAAGTGCACAATGGTGGCCTGCGCAGCCGTCGTGGGGATAGTAAGTGCTACTGAAGATCATGAGATCGTCTCCAGCTCAGAGAAACAAAATAATCAATGATAAAAATAAATGATTAAAAACAAATAAATTAAAAAAAACAGAAAAGATGGTATCAAAAGCATTTAGGCAGTGACACAAGGAAAGCGACTGCACATTTACCTACATACAGTGTAGGGAATTCCGGATTTTCAGTATCGTAATTCCACTACTCGGCTTACTAAATCCACGTTTCGCCCACTTACTGGATTTTTCCGATGCGAACTCTATTCACCATTGGTGTCCCATTCTCATATACACGCGAATAGGCCAGAAAAGAGTCGGTTTAGAGACACATTAAGCATAGAGGGTGCCGCACATTTCTTTAATATTTTCTATCAAGAGCTGGCCGTAAATTTGTGAACGTGTCTATTGATCGCCAGTTTATGAAAATATGAAATTTTTGTTTTATCTATTGTTCTTATTTTCTAGCTGCTTTAGAAGTAACCATTGAGGGAGATGAGAGCTAGCTAACGTCTCTTTAAAATTAGAGTCTGAACAAAAACTCAACTCCAAATTTAATTGATACATAATTCATACCTCCCTGCAATTTACTTTTTTTACAGGTGGCTGCTGTGGATCCACCAAAAAGCGCACCATTGTCGGTGGCTGGGCTTGGGCCTGGTGGCTGGTGACAGACGTACAACGCCTATCGCTGGAAGTGATGACCCTCAATCCAATGTGTGAGAACGTCGAGACAGCACAAGGTGTACCATTAACCGTGACGGGTGTAGCTCAATGCAAAATTATGAAGGTATGTTGGAGAGAAATCATTCATCGCTCGCTCTAATTAGCAAAAAAAAAACAATAACAATTCGAACTTTATACTTCAGACTAATTGAAGAGAAATACAGTTTAATTTAATTTTTATTTAATTTTATTTGATTTTTTATTGTTTGGTCTATATACTTAGCGCTTTTTAGCTCTAAATTTACAATTTGGTAACTTAATATTTAGAGTTGGTTTTCTTGTTTACCGTTAAAATGGAAATTTGAAAATACATTAATATAAATAACTATTGCTATATATATTAAATATGATTTATATTTAGTAGTCTGCTGGGTATTGCTATTTATTAAGAAGCTTGGAACAGAAAATGGCATGCTAGATTCAAACTAAACTTACTTAAATACATATGTACGACTTCTCAGTGAAATGTTTGGGAAAAGTGGAGCATTTATTGATTTTCAACTATTGAAAATAAACTATATATTTGTTTTTTAATAATTTATTTCAACTCAACTTATGCTGTACTTTTATTAATCAACTCTTCTTCGTTATTATTTGTATAATTATTACAAAAAAAAAATATCAAATAAAAAATTTAAATCTCTGTAGCGTAAAAAGCCTAGAAAAAATAGAAAATACAAAGTAAGTCACAAAATAGTATATATTTTATTTTTAAATATTCAAATATTTATAATATTTGTATTTGTTTAAGTAAATTTACACACACCTTCATTCAAATCCAAATTGTTTCATATATCGTAGTTTGTCCAATCATGAGCCACGATAAGAGTAATCAAAGACAACTTATGTGCTTAACGCTACAAATCGCTGCATTTAGTATTGTTATCAATCTTTAGCTTTCAAAATTTTTCTTAACTTTCACAATTTTGTTGATTTCTTTACAATTATCTTTTATTTAATTTTTATGAGTTAAAAACTTGTGTTTTATTTGATTCAGAGCAGATTTTTTTTCGCCAAACTCAAATTAGTTGACGATAAAAGTCGGTTGTAAAAATCTGCAATTAATTATTTATTCCAATCTAATGATTAATCGACCCCTTTTAATTAAATATGTATTAAATTAAATTTTTTGTTATAAAGAAATTAACTTCTTGCTTTATTATTACATTTTCCTTAATTTAAATCGCATTAGTTAAGTGATTATTTAGAGAAAAAGAATTAATTTTTTTCTATTTATTTGATTTTATATTAAATTTAGATTTCTCTTTTTATCAGTTAAAATTTAATTTATTTTATTGATTAGTCAAATGTAATAAGTTTTAATGATTAATTAAGCAATCTTTCTGTAGTCAATTTCTAATTAATCATAAATCTGCTATCTTGATATTTTATAATCTTTTACTGTTTATTTATTTTATTTATCAATTTCAGATTAATTTCCCTAATTATTAGATTTTGATCGATTCAGTGATTAACTAAACAAAATTTTTTAATCGACATTGACATCCATTTTGTTTTTCTTATATATTTCATAGTTTCTTTAATTATTATATTTTCATTAAATTAAATACAATTAAATTTTTTGTAAATAATATATTTATCAATAAAATAAAAATAAGGAATCGATACCTGCTTAGTCAAAAGCTTATTACTTTCGTACTATTATTACTTTTTATTTCTTTAAGTATTTATTTTTTGTATTTATTCCTTTCTATTTTTATATTCCAAAAATTTAAATATAATTTTTTTTCCTTGAACCAAAATATACTCCTATGTATTAACATATGTACTTTAATTTTTTAATTTTATTTTTCTTAATTTTCATATCGGTAAATGACCGTTGGAGAATTATAATTTCAAATATAAGGCAAATGAGAGCTAATGAAAATTCAATTGATATTATAAAGGTATGTCTATTATTTTAATTTTTTTTCATTTATCTTTTAATTGTTTTTTATATTTATTTAAACTTATATATTATATTTAAGTGTTTTCTAACTCATGCAGCTTTCAAACTTCTTATATGTGAAATTGGAAGGATAAATCCATATAATTTTTGTGATTTTGTTATTGCGTGTATGTATGTATGTGTTCGTACAAATTTTTAATACGAATTGTTCCAGAAATAAAGCTCCAATCATTCATATTCATGAAATCACCACACTTTTTATTTAATTTTTGTTTGTTTATTTGTTTAGGTCCAGTAGAGAAAGTCACTATCTAACATTTGTAGAGCTCATAAAAGAACTTATTTGAATCAGTGCCTTAACGGTTTTTTATAAGTGTAAACACTTTAGATCCTTTGAAATCGTGTAAAGCTCACAGTCGAGCAACCTTCCCCTATGCGAAACCTCGGAAACCAATTTGGCAAGCACCTGTAACATCGCTTATGAGGTCTTAGCTAGATTTGTTAGAAGAAAAAAAGAAAAGACCCAAATGGTTAAGTAATGATTAGAAAAAAAAGCTAAAGACTCTTCCACAAAAACAAAAGAACAGACTCTTGTCAATCATAAAAAAATTTCCCAAAACATAAAAAAATTACAGAAAATCACAAAGAGAATCTTCGAAATCTCGTGGAAACTGCCCAAAAAGAAGCCAGATGGAAAAAGGTCTGTATGTTTCGGCGAAAAACTTCATATTTTTATAATCACCTACTTTCCGAAATGTTCTTTTGGCAAAAGCACGGCAATTCAATGACAAGTCCGTCGTATAGCTCAGCGAGTACACGTATATCAACTTTAAACAACTTTCTTCCCGAATCTATAATGAAATGGGGTATGAATAGACTTTCATAAAGCTTGTGGTATACCTCCTAAAAAACATGATGGCATTCGCACAAGAAGAGCCACTCTAGGTGAAGTTTTATCCTCTTATTATGGAGTCTCTCGGAAAACACACTGATTTCGAAACATAACAACTCGAACATTGCCCCAACAACCACAGGAAAATTCTCCCAAATTTTAAGTCATCTACTGCAAAAGCTCTATACATTATTTCAAGAAACTGGAGCATGAGTAGTGGACTGTATAACGAACCACCCATACTAAAAAGCATATATTTTGGGATAATCGTAGATAACTCAAATTGAGCCGAAACACAACTAAGAGTTTAAAGTGGGAAAATTTTCGAAAAAGTTCTGCTATCAAGAATTACTCATGTTCTTCATGGAACAATTGATACGATTTACTTGCTTAACAAATGAAATAAGGAAAGCTTTCGAATTCAGCTGGGCCATTTTCTTCGATGTGGCGTAAGCATTTGATGGAGTGTGGCATGATGGTCTCATCCATAAAATTAAAAAATCATTACATAACCCGATCCAAAATATCCTTGAATCCTATTTATCCAACAGGTGATGCACTGTAAAACCAAATGAATATATAACAGAGGAGTATCCAATCATGCAGGTATTCCGCTTGGTGTCGTTGGAAGAATATTATATATTTTTTTCACCGCAGCCATTCCTACAATACAAAGTCGACATAAATGCCCCATTACAGCCACAAAAGTATTAGCAGCGCCTTGAACTAATAGAAGAAAGGCTAGCAAAACGGCGTATAAAAGTTAATGAAAATAAGTGCAAACACATTACTTTTACATTAAGGCCAAAAATGTGACCTAACGAATTCACATACCCTGGTATTCACTTGGACAGGTGATTAACTTGGAAGCGACACATTTCCGCTAAAAAGATGTAGCTGAAGCCTAAAAACTCTAGTTTGTTTTGGCCTAAGAAATCAGGGTTTAGCCTAGAAAAAAGTTGTTCTTTATAATGCAACTATAAAACCGATGTGGATGTATGGAATTCAGTTATGGGGTACAACTTGCGAGTTAAATCTAGATATAATACCATGATTCTAGTCGAGAATAACAACCAGATTACCATGGTACATGCCTAATGAAATTATCCACATAGATTTAAATATACGCACAATCAAGGAAGAAATTGAAATCGTTACACAAAATTACATAGCAAAACTGTACAATCATCCGAATCTTTTGGCTATCACCTTGGGCTCCTGCAACAATCAGCCAGTAGCCCATTCCTAGCCAATGGGCTATTATATTTTATTTTAGGTTTTAAGATTTGACAACTTATTTGAAGCGTGTGATTGAAAAAAACCTCAGAATTTGCGACCCGCAAGAGGCAAAAATGTTTCATGATGACAACGGTGTACAACTTGTTCCTGTTGCTGACGTCGAACGGTCTCTTTTTATCTGCATTGATTTCTGTATGTGAAACCCCTGATAAATCGGCCTTCATTTTAAATATCGAAAGGTCTTTTATTTATGAGTTTCAGATTATTTTTAATCGCTTAGCAAATCATGTTATCACTTTCATGCTCTTCCTCGGCCAGAATGAAATTATTTCAGATTCTTTTTCTAGCATTTTATAGTTTTCCATTCAGAATAGTTTTTAGTGCTTAAATTCTAAGTTTTGAATTGAAATTAAAACTTTGAAAACGAAGTTTGTATTGCTTATAAATTTGATTTTCATCACATTCATTATTGTCATAATCCTGGTACATAGTCTAACCGCCATTTTTGGAATTAAAAATATATACATCTATTCTATGTATACGAACTTCATGACAATTGGTAATCATGTTTGCGTATGTACAAAGATCAGCCATCGCATCACTGAAATTCTATGTATTTATAATTGTATAATTGTCATTCTATGTATTTTTTGAGATAAATTTTGACACTTCTCCGTTGTTTAAAAAATTTTAGTACATCTTGTTTTTAACGGTTGAATGTGTATACCATCTTGTCATGTGTAAAAATGTCATAGCGCTCAATTAAAGTTAAAAAATCCTCTGTGCTTTTCATTCACACAACACAAAAGCAAACAAAATGTATCTACATTTGTACAAAACCATCTAAAATATGGGAAATCTGCATTTGTTATTGTTCCAATAATAAAATCATATAACTGTATTGTTTTAATAACTATAGTGATTTATGTATGTATGTATGTATGTACTATAACCAATTTTGTAAAACTTATAAACTAATAAATTGTTGTATCTATGTATAGTAATTTGTTGTATTTGTTTTCCTTTTACAATTACCGTTGTTCAGCTTTTAAATGTGTTTTTTCCTTTTTTCTTCTTCTTCTCTTTTGCTGTTACCAAAAAAATTATAAAATCCAAAAATCTAATATAAAAACAAAAAAAAAAAACAATCTAAATCAACCATACAAAAACTTCATCATCAACCACTTACCAAATAAATACCAACAACAATTACCAATCAATCAAACAAACAAACAACCAAACCAACTTACCAATTCACCAATCAACCAAAACACCCTCACTCATCCACCATACATGTATGTATGTACTCGCATATGTATATCTCCTTTCGACATCAATATCAACAACAACAACCACCACATTCTTCTGCCTGCGCGCAGATGATGAACGTGTATTATTTTCACCATCAGGCTGACGAACTATTGGGCACCGCGAGCGAACAATTTCTGGGCAAGAACGTTAAGGAGATAAAGCAAACGATATTACAGACATTGGAGGGACATTTGCGTGCCATACTTGGTAAGTTTGACTTAATACACCGAATAAATTTAAGATTTAATAAACTGAGCACCAAGTTATTTATTAACGAACTATAATAGTGGTAAGCCGTAGATGACTAATATTATTTTACTGAACTCGAACTGGTCCAAAAATACGGAATTTTTGGGGTTTTTTTTTTTTGCATGTTAAATAACGTAAAATAAAAAAACTGAACCAAAATGAATTTTTGGTATCGTGTTTACGGGCTTGTCTGATTTAAAGACTTAGAGTCTCACTACAAATTGTTGATGACGCTGAAATTTATCATTGTCTAATAAGGTCATCAATGCTGCCTGAATTATCCAACCGTAGCTATTCGTAAGAGCTTTTCAGATCTTTTCTATATCTAGTTCTTTTGATTAGAGCATGATAGCTGAGCTCGATAGGCGCAAAAAAGGAAATTTTAAGATTTTAGGAGTATACTCTTCTAGGTCGTTTTGAATCCATTAGAGGTTTCTCTCCCATGAAACATTCTCTTCTCGTTCAGAGAGTATCGCCACTTGTAAAGCCACAAAATATTTCCTGAATATTTTGTCAAAACTGTAACTATTGGCCAATGGAGCACTGGCTCATTCTTCCATAGACCTGACTTACCCAGTCATTTTTTTTAAGGAAGAAGAGTTTATCAAAAGCCCCTTTTTAATACTTTGCCCCACCATTTGGAGTCTTACTATATATATGTACTCGTATGTGTGTTATTGGCTCTTAGCGCTGAATAGATTTTCGATCCAGCTCTTCCTTAATAATATTTCTGAATAGCTTTATATTTCATGTCAGAACTACACGAACTTCAAATATATTTTTAATTTTTAAATTAATTTTTTCAATAATACGCACTGCTACCCACTTACCTACAGCAGCCATCGTGCCATGTGGTTACCCTCTGCGGGTAAGGCTTTAGTTCGTCTGCTTGGTTTTGAACTTTTCAACTTGAATAAAGCATATAAAAGGAGAAAACTTCTGCTCCTTACGATAATAAATTTTGTGCTCAAGTATTTTGACCCCATATAAATACAATTTATTACAGGTTCTTCAATAGTTCCATCTTCTCTTCCACCTCTGTCATTTGGTGATTCGAATTGATAATGGTCCAATTCAATTCGAGGTCCTCCTTGGAGCGTTCGTATTTTTTCAACGCAAAGACATTTATAACTTTATCCTTTTCTTCGCCAACTTGGCGTTAAGAAAGAGAACCATTAATTTTTAGATATAAACAAAGAAAATTAATAAAAATGGAATCAAAATTATTATATCGTATTCAAAATGGTCATTTTATTTTGAAGACCGTTGAAATTAAATGCAGTAAAGTGTTTAGGGAACAGGGTAAAATTGCGTTTATTAAAGCTTACTAAAAAAGCAAAAGCTCAAAATAACAGTACAACCCAACAAGCATCAAGATATATACATATTTTGCAAATATTTATATAGCTCTATCTCCTAAATCAGTGTGTTTAATTAGATAAGGACAACTTCGGATTTGGGTAGAAAATCTGCAAAAAAATAAGATGATGTTAGAACAAAATGAAGCAACCGTCAAATTAAAGCTATTTGGAGTAGGAACTACATGAAACATATTTTGGGCAGCACTTCTCATAAGGGTTGATTGCTTGACATTTCGCCACATACATTTGCAATCTTCTATACATTTTATTACAATCTAAAAAAAAGTATAGAAAATCTATAAAAAAATGTCTTGAAACAAATATTAGAGCTCCTGGAAGTGCTTCAAAAAACATCGCTATCCAATGAACCAAGGGAAGATGCTTTCAGGGAGTTGAGTTCACATTGACGAAAAACATTTCATACTAAGATAAAATTAATACCAAGTTTAGCTCAAATATAAATGCTTGCTGGGTAGAAATGTCTACACAATTAAAACTGCAAATGAATAACTAAAGTGACAGGAGCATTAAGAGAATTACAACAGAGCAACAACCACTAGGGAAACACTTCAGCCGAGAACCGCAAGTAAATGAGTTAGATTAAAATCAAGAAAATATATTAGCGAAAAAGGAAAAGAAGTAATAAAAGTGTATAGGAACACAACAAAGACAACTTATAAAGGATAACAGTGTATGGGAAAATAAAAAAATAAAAGCGGGAGAAGAAGAACAATCCTGTAATAAAAGAAGGCAGACAAAGCTCGTTTGCGTGTGAATGCGGGTGCATGAAGCAGGAAACGGCTGCCGGGTATTAAATATTATTACTATTTTTCTAGATTAAGGACATGGTTGAATGTACTTGAAGTATTTTTATTATTCTTTCTTGTGCTACTATTGCATTGCTGCTTAGATTAAAGCAACATTTTCATGCAATCCAATTGAAGAAAGCCGGAAGAATACTTTCGCTACACAATGGAATTTAATTATACTCGAAGCAAAGATTTGATTTGAACAATTCTCATGTCTTCAATGGCTCTGGGTAACGTAAGAAATGTTACACTTATTCACATCCGTGTATGAGTGTATTGCGGACAGGCAAGAAGCAAATTGGTTCTCGTTTATTTAATTTGTGTAATAATGTGATTTTTTTTCTTGCGTTTAATGTTAACTTATTCAAAACACTTAAGGAGCCGGTGAGCACTACGAAGAAGGAAGAAAAAAATAGCGTACAAATAGAGGATAAAAGTCTCTGTTTCAGTCATTCTTACGGAATACAAGAGGATTAACAAGAGTTCTGTCAGCTTGTGACTTTCAGTTTTGTTTTTGTTAAATATAAAAACACCAAATCGTTTGCAATTACCTTATTATTAGTCTTCCATTCAAATTTTAGAGCGATCGGCTAAAATGGAAACCAAAAAACGCAAGATAGCTGAGGATAGGTCAGACGAAATTCCACCACCAACGCAAACAGAAATTAGCCATTCGGATTTCGGCATAATTTACAGCCAATTCAAATATTCAGGGAATGCCCAATTACATATGGAACGATTACACCGTCTTTGAAGACTATTTCTATGTGATTCCGAAGATTCCAGACTGGCCATTTTTCCTTAGAGCACGAGCCCCGAGAAGGTCGACCAAAATCTTCCACTGATGACGTCACTATAGTTTTGGTAAAGTCAAAAATCGACGTTGACCCGCTATTGACACAGGAAATGATTGCTAGGCTTGATTGTCATGGCTGTATCGCGAATATTAATTAATCATCTGGGTTACACGAAGAAATCTTTTTGATGGGTACTACGAATTTTAATTTAAGCCAAAAAAGAGGCAGCAACTTAAGCAATCTTAGTTCTTTTAGTACGATCCAGAAACTAAACAGCAGTCAATGGTATGGAGCCCAGTACGAGCAAACCCACTTGTAAAACCTAAGCAACAAAAATCAGCAGCAAAAGTAGTGATGCCACCCGAATTAAAGTCGGAGCTGCTATTCCACTGGAAATGGGTCAGACGGTAACCGAAACTTTCAAAAAATTGGTTGGGAAACAGTAAGAAAGAGGATTTGCGGCGCTTCTTTTTACAACACGCCAACGAGCCATCCATTCCACACTACTGAAACGACGAGTAATTTTATTACGAGAAAATACGACCATCACCATATTCCCCAGATATAGCACCTTGTGATATCTGGTTATTTCCAAAAATAAAAAAAATTTAAAAGGAAAAGTCTTTAATAACAACAAGGAGGGAATCAACAGCATTGCTGAACTTGATAAGCTTAAAAAGCAAGATTTTGAAGACTGTTTTCAGGCGTAAGAAATGCCTTGAAATCAATGGCGATTATGTAGAGAAGATAAAAAAGGACAGAGAATTTTTATTTATTTTTTCACTACCGAACTTTTGTTAATCCCCTCGTATATTGAGTGTAGCTAATGTAGGCGTGACCAGAAACGATTCGTGACTGTCTTCCATACACCGAGTATCTTCTTGTGAAGGCTAACTAAAGAGATTGGCCCTTTCGATAACGGCGGGAGTAATACTGAAAATTTTTTTGTATCCAAATTCCAGAGTACATTTCATAAGCCCACTGGGTGTCAGGCAAAGTGCAAAATCTATAATTGTGAATTTGAATATCCAATCATGTGAAAATGAAATGATGTTGCGTTACTGAATATGACGACTATTTTGGTATCCCCACAAAACTTATAAGACTGTACAGTGACGTTGTACAGTACTGAAGTTTTATACTGAACAAAGTTATTCACTTCGCTTCGCCACGAAAGTGAAGCGAAGAGTAAGTAGTAAATGACAGAGCAAATTAACAGAGACAGAACCTGTGCTTGTTATGTCGCCCTGATGAATGAAAACACTCCAGCTTTGAAAATATTCGATACTGTACTGACCAGCAGAAGTATATTAAGAGAAAATCTTCCTTCTCCATTGTTAAGATCAAGTAGAAAAGGACCTAGCAACGACTTGTGCGCATCCGCCTCCGATCAGCTGATGGGTTTTTATGAGGGGCCCGTTTTCATATCAGAAATTAATACTCAGAGGACTTGAAATTTCATTCTCAGGGACGACCACATTTATAAAAAAAAATCCTATAATTTTAGTTGTTGGTTCGACCAGAACTCGAACTTATAACCTTCCGTGTGATACTAACCACTCGCCTACCGCGGCCGTCGATTTCGATTGTAGCCGTTATTTTATCAGCATAAATCCATTTCTCTAAGTTTTTTAAAGGAGTACATTCAAATGAATAATAAATAAGCAAAAAGTCAATATCGTTTTATATACAAATATAAACAATATCAATCAATATACACATACATATTTTTAATAATCGTTCAAATAAAATTAATCGCATGTGACTGAGAAAGTATCACTTTATGAACAAACAAAAAGCATGCAGATGTTTATATAACTACACACAGCTGTATGTATATACTTCCTCACTGACCTCAGCAATTACTATGTGTGTGCATTTATTGCCTTTAATATCCTTGAATACACAAAAGGTTATTGGTTTCAATGCCAAGTCATTGTATAAGAAATCATTTTCTGTACGAAATGTAGTCGAATATGAATGGTACTCGG